CTCCTCCTCCTCCTCCTCCTCCTCCTCCTCCCCCCCCCCTCCTCCTCCCCCCCTCCTCCCCCCCTCCTCCTCCCCCCCCTCCTCCTCCCCCTCCTCCTCCTCCTCCTCCTTTTTGAAAGCTGGAATATTGGAGCCTTTATTACACAGTTAGCAGGATGCAGGTTGCCCATTGTTACAAAGGCCTGCAGCACACAAATACACATAACACAGCTAGGAAACAGGAGGAGAGAAAGAACAAAAACAATACCAACAAGCCAATTCAGCTCCAGTGGAGAGCTGAATTGGGACGCGGTGATGACCGGAGATGAGCGAGGAGACGGGACACGGGACATGGTCACAGAGACACACGGCGCATGGCACAATGGCACCAGTGCTGGGATTTCCTCCTTTAGTAAGGCTGGATAGCATTCTTCTATATGCCAAGCTTTATCTGTTTACCTGCTGCGGTGATAAACATCTGTCCATCTTTATCTATTTATTTGTCCATAGGAATAATCTTTCCATGAACACTGGAGTGTGAACCTCTCCTTTTCCTGTAATGGGATTATTGGATCACAAACAAGTTCTACTTTTAATTTTTTGAAGAACCTCTATTCCGTTTCCCACAATGGCAACACCAATTTTTGTTTCTCCCAAGAACGTACGAATTCGCCTTTCTTTCTCTATATCCTCATCAACATCTGCTCTCTTTTGTCTATTATTCATTTCCTTTCTGGAGGTACTAGCGGTTGAACTTAGGGTTTCATGTTTCCCGGGGAAATTGTCTACCATGTAAGTCATATGCCTGGCTTCTTTAATTCATTTTATTGACATTGCTTTTACTATTTTTGTTTCTAATTAGCATGCATTTGTAGCAAGAGAGGGTTTTATTTTGATATTTCCATATTGCAAATGTATTGTGGTATCTCCATACAGTGTACTTTGAACCAATTCACTTCCAAATCCCCTTCAGTGGTTTTTCAGAAAGGGTCTTAGGATTTTTGGCTGGGTCAGCCTCAAACCATGATCCTCCTACTTCTGTCTCCAGAGTAGCTTGAGTTACAGGCCTGAGCCATTGTACTGAGCTTGTTTCTGATAAGGACTCACTTATTTTGGCCTGAGTGGCCTCAAACTGAAATTCTTCTTTAACTTCCTCCCAAGTAGCTGAGATTATACGAACACACTAGATACCACAGAAAGCCTCTTTGGGCATTTTGACGTAAGATGTTCTAAAAGATATACAATGATATCTCACTATGGTTTTAATTTCCTAAAAACTGCCAAGACACATATAACAAAATGATAATTATGTGGGATAATGGATGGGTAAATTACCTCAATTTAATGATTCCATCATGGATACATATTCCAAACATGTTGCAGGCTAAAGATATGTGTCATTTTTGTCAGTTAAACTGATTAATTTATTTCATAAAGGTGATCATGGAATGCAGGCAGCTCTTGGCTCTTTCTTGAAAGTAGGCATTTGCTTAAGCATAACTCTTAAGCTTTGCTGCCAGAAAGCAAAGAATGTTCTAAAATGGCTACTACAAAGGCTACAGGTCTGTTATCAGACAGGGTATCTGTGAGATTTCATAAACTTCACCTGGTTTACAAATGATCTGACCTTGTTCTTGCATGTGTGCCTAGATAAAGGTATGAAAATATTATTATTAATAAAAAATTGGTAATAAAATCTATAACCATGAAAGTATTGATGATTATCACTCAGTTTATTATGGTAGGGTGCACACAGCTGTACTGTTTCTGGAACTCCAATTTCCACACACAAGAGTGTCAGAGTAGCTTCCAAGCCAAGCTAGTGGAGACTTAGTGGAAATGGGAGAATGTGTTTGCTTAGTAAAATCTATGAATTTCCAAAGCAAAAAGTGATTCCGATTCTTGATGAATACCCAATTTGAGGTGCATAAGCAAAATCCAAGGTAATTTTGGTGAGACATTCCCAAATGAACTTGCTTCAGATCTCTTTGTGAGTTTTACCTTTGCTCAAATTTGTAGGACCATGTCTTAAGACTCATTTTCAACAGATATGTTTTGATTCCAAATGTCCACATTAAGATGGCTTACATTTTTTTCCCTCTCAGCAATTTGCTTTTATTCTTCCAATTGTTCTCATTTGTAAGGCAGAGGTTCTGCACCACACACAGTTTTCTTCTGGTGACAATTACCACTCAGATCCTCTTCAGAAAGAGAAGCCAAAAATTTGAACTGAACCATGCAACATAAAATTATTCCAAGAGCCAAATCTGAGCATCTCACAGAAAAACTTCTTGGAGATCAGTCAGAACTTTGGAATTTACATATCACAAGGATGGAAAAATCTCCATGTTCAGACTAAATTTGGGTGTGTCTGGGGGATAGGAAGAACATATTTTTGAATACCTAATAAAAAAACAGTAAGCTATCAAAAATTAAGTCATCACCATGTTTCAATTTACTGAAAACAAATAAATAAGAGAAATGCAGGATAATCTACAGAAGCATACAAGCTTGTTCAATTTTTCATCAAGAGGATCATCAAAATACATTGCCTCAGATCAGAGCACGTACACTTTCCTCCCATAGTCCAGAAATGTCTCCAATGGGTTAAAAAATTGGGTCATGCAAACAGTAAACAATTTAGGCAGGATAGGCCAGAAGGTAGGAAGTGGGAAAAGAAAATTGAAAAGGGAAAAAAAATTGAGAAAATGAGGAAAAAAGGGAACAATGTTTCTTAAGGTATTTCTGAGAAACACACCAGAATTCATATGCTTTATATGGTCAGAATGTGTCTTTCAACACACTCTCTGATCTCTTTAGGTGACAAAAACAAGCAAAAATAACTGTAATGCCAAAATGCTATAATCTGCTAAAGCAGATGTCTTGCCATCTATTGTCTGACTACGTCTTTGGGGTAATGTTTGTCCTATTTCAACTGTATGAATTTCATTTAACATTGGTTTTCCACATAAAGCTGCCTGCATTTCTTCCTGTCATTAGGCAATGGTGTATTTTTGTTTCGTTGGTTGTTTGTTGTTTTTTTTTTTCCAGTTAAAAGCAATTTGCTCACTACCTTTGGGGAAACTAGACAAGGTGGTCACAAGGATCACTTCCAATGTTCAGGATTCTGTCCCAGGACTTACAAATTTAAGCTTATAATGGTTCTTCCTTCCACCTGCATGATCCATCCATTATCTTGCCCACTAGCAAACAGAGATTTAATGAGTTCCTCCAAAATGGCTATTCTGGTCATAGAAGCTGGAGGGGAGAATGAACAAAGGAGATGAATTTTCCCATCTTAAAAAAACATTTAACACTCAAGATATTTCAAGACATTGAAATATTTATATAAATCTGTGCAAATATGTAGTCAAAAACTGCAATGAAGAACAAAAAAGAAAAGTATAGACTCCCTTAATAGAAGGATGTGATTTGGAGTTTTCACATAGCCTGAGAAAAGCAACAGAAACAAAAGAGGAATCTTGATTTTGGAGTGGTACAGCATTTTATCCATTGACCATAATCAGGAAAAATACCCGGGCAAAACTTCACATTTTTTGTGATCAAGTAAAACTTCTTGGGCCTTGACTTTTAAAACTCTATTCTTAGCCCCCTCAAAAAAAGCCAGCCTCAAAAGTGAATAGCAAAGAATGGTTATTTATAATGGTTTAGTATACTAATTTATAATAAGCCGGGTTTGGAAAGGATTGGAAATGAAAAATCCAAAGGAAAGGCATCTTGCCTAAGCAGAGGATGAGTCCTGGGTCATTCATCAGCTTCATCAGACATATCTGGGCTGGGTTGTTCAAGTCATGTGGACTCACCAAGCTCAGGTTTCCTCCATTTGAGTGACTGCCACACCACCTGCTAGGTTGCTTTTAGGGGCATGGGAGCTAATGTATATTGAGTGTCTCTGTACCACCAGCTTGAAAAATGGAGTATAGAATAAACAACAAATCATCACAAGATAAAGCCAAGCTGACTTGCCTCTCAGAATTATTACCAATGGCTGTTGCAAAAGACTACATTAGCTAATTGAATATGTATTTATTGTTTGACTGCTTACCCATCATCCCACACAGAATCTCAGGTCAATATTACTTGAACCACTTAGCATCTCATTCTTAGAACCTCAAAAAAATACGAGCAGAAGACTTTTGTGATAAAGGACCATAAATGCACTTAGGATTCAGCTTAAATTTTATTCAGGAAAATGGCATTGTTTTGAGATGTTTGCTGGCTTGTTTTTCTCTTTCTTCTCTTCCTCCTCTTCCTCCCTCTCCTCCTTCACTCCCTCTCCACCTCCTTCCCCTTCTTTTTCTCCTCTTCTTCATCTTCCTTCTCCTCCCACTTCCTGTCTTCCCTCCCTCCCTTTCTCCTTCATATATATATGTATATATAATATATATATATATATATATATATATATTCAAGGATAATAGAGTGCAACTGAAATGGAGAGAGATTCAACTGGAGACAAATGCCACTCAATCAGAACATGTTGATAGTAGGTCTTACAAGAGTTCATGTCTTTAGCAGGCACCCATATTTTCTCCTTACAAGCCTTTATATTTGTTATTGATTCCAGGGCATCTCGGAACACACCATGGCCACCAGCATTGCTTGATTAATGGGGTCATTTAGGGAAGCAGGGCCTGGAGGAAACATTTTTTTTTTTACTAAGTCTCTTCAGAAGGAAGTACTCAGTGCTTACCTCTTAAGATTTAAGTGTGGGTTCTCCAAAGATGTATAGATAGTTTTATAAATAGTCATTATTTCCAATAATGTTCGGGAGATTCACCCCTGAAATAAGTTCAACACACAAACAACTTCAATTGTTGATGTTCCCATCTCAGCCTAGGGACAGCCATTTAAAAAACACACGGAAGACTTTTAGACGCAATCAATCAAGGAATGAATTATTGGGGGCCAAGTTTCATAAAACTCTTAAGTAGAAGCACACTGCATACTCTGTTAGACCTATTTTGCATTGCCTGAACAAAGGAAGCACACATCCAATATGAAACTCCTCGGCTTTATTAATGCAAACATATTTTTATTAAAGAATGAATGCATTTATGCTAAATAATAGTTTACATATGTCATAAAGCAACAAGCACAACTTCAGGAGGCAGGAGAATCTTCCTCAGTGATTCCATGCTTACTGTACATGCCTGAAAACTGGGTCCACACATGAGGACATACATATACACACAAACACATACACAGACACATAGGTACACAGACCAAATGCCGACACCATTGCTCTCTGCATCGGGTTAGCTCTCATTTAAGGCTTCTAAGGCATCTGAGCGTCCTAACATGACCAGGAGTACAAAGAGACTTTTATAAAGGAGCAGTATTACATGGAAACAGAATCATATACCTTCAGCCTTAAATGTACGCATTTTAACAAGCACTCTCAATTTCATTCCGTGTCGACTCTATGGTATTTAAAGGTCGGTGAAACTGAGAAACCTCAGGATGCCTTAGTGAGAAATCATTTTAATATTTCTCCTTTGAAACCACAAATAATCACATATTTCTGACTCTAAGATTTAAGATAAGAAGATTTCCCTTGAGGTGGAAGATGGGTATGGGCTTTTTTAGATGAGCTGAGTTTCTCTAATTCATTCCCAACTCAAATGCCGTCCAAAGCTTGTCTTACAGAATTCCTCCAATTGGGCCATCACCTAAGGAAATGGTCATAAAGTCACCAAGGGCTGAGTTAAGTCCAGCCTTGGCAGAGTCTGATTACTCCTTCCCTCCTTCCGGGGTTTCTTGTGATGTTGTCCTAATTGATTTGTTTGTCATTTCTTTTGCTTGCTCAGTTATTTTCTTCCCTTTTGGTGTCCTGCATTGTGTGTGGAGGACCCATCTCTCTAGGGACACCAGAAAGGGAAACAGAGATGGATGTTGCAGCAGGAGAGAGGAGATCATTAGTAGATGCAAGTATTCCAAGGAAATAGATGAAGAGACTACAATACGATACAAGGTACTACTTGATATACTCATGTAAATAAAAGCATTATCTCAAACTGCGAATTAACTGCCGACTACTGGGTTGTTAGTCGTAAAGCTCAATAAGGACTGTGCTGATTCACGTAGTGAGGAGACAGTCTACGACATGCCACCACCGGAGAAGAGCTCTCGGTCATTCCGGGGTGTCCTCTCCCAACTGCGGCCTCCTCGTGGGCATCAACACCCTGGGCCTCCCTCTGTCCATCTCTCCCTCCATCTGAAGCTACCTCAAAGGTGCTGTTGGATTCCCTAAGGCAGACTGGAATGGTCCTGCAAATCAAAGCCACGGAGTCTCTGCCTGACAGTGGTGAAAACTGGCATCGAAATCTCCCCTGAGAAGGTGTTGGCATAGAAGGAAAAAAAACCCCACCACTAGGAAGAGAATACTAGAACCTTCCATCCCCCACTACTCCCCTCCCGTCCTCCTCTCAGTCACAGCAGCAGCAGATTGCAATGTCACATAATTACACTTTAATGATACATTTCTTTAGATTGAGAATTGCTCTTCGGAATTTAACAAGCATGGGTGGGGCCCGGAGAGTGGCAGTCTTTTCATCCCTAATTTGAATGGTCTGGCGAAGCCTCTGGAAGCCTTGGCTGGGGCAACCTCCAGTCCCCCCTCCCCCCTCTCAGCCGTCATCCGATTCCAATTCCTGGGAGACCTCTTCGGAGGAGCTGTTCCTGTGGATCCGCCCGTCGCTCTTCATACTGTGGAACGTCTTCCTGAAGGCCTCCATCATGGCGTGGGCCAGCTTCTTGGCCTCCAGCTTGCTCTCGCACTCCACGGCGTGGCAGTCCATCTGGTAGGACAGGTCATCGTTGATCTCCCTGTAAACCCAGGCGAAGATGTTGGGGCTCACATTGTGGTCGGCGGTGCAGTAGGCGATGCGGGCCACCTGAAAGGTATCCATGTGGACCGTGGTGTCGCCCTTGGGGTCGAGGTGATGCAGCCACACTTGGAAAGGGCGGATCTCCAGGAGGGCGTTGGCTGGGAACACATCCTCTCGGGCCAGCGTGTGCCTCTTCCAGAGCTCAATGACTGGCTTCTCCGTGCAGCCAGACAAAAACTGCATGCCTGTGGTGGACACCTTGCCCAGATAGGTGACCTGCGGGCGGGAGACAGGAAGCCAGGGGAGAGGTTAGCCAGCCAGAGGCTCTGGATTCTCTTGGTCTCAGTTCCTTTTGCTAAATTATCTTTAAGTAGTTGTACAAAGGAGTTGCCACGTTACAAAGAGGTTTGTGAGGGTGGTCACTACCACCCCTTTCCACGTTCTCCCCCCCCCTTCCCTCCCCATTCCTCTTTCACTTAATTTTATAGGATGTACATTGAGCTCTTGATTGTATTCTGCCCCTCTTCTCCCCTTCATTCATGGACTCCTTTCCCTTTGATCCCAGCCCCAACCCCGTTCAAGTACCTGCTTCCCAGGGTTTATCTCGTTGAACTTTGCCTTTCTAAGGAATTATACTACTGGGTTCTCGCGGGAGTCTATCATACATACTTCAGTTAATACATTTGTAGACAATTGCATCAACATATTTACGTTCATAAGCAAAATTTTAGCTTCCACATATAGAGGAGAACTTGCATCCTCTGTCTCTCTGAGCACCTAACATGATTGTTTTCCAAGTCTTGCCATTTCTCTACAAATGGTACAATACCATTCCTTCCAACACGTGAGTGAAATTCCATTGTGAATATCCACCACATTTTCTTGATCCATTTGTCCACTGAGGGGCCTCTGGGCTGATTCTATACCTTAGCTTTGGTGAATAGTGCTTCAAGGAACTGAGCCCGTGTTCTTTAACATTTGCAGAATCCCACTGGAGATGCACAGAGGATTCATCTTGTCCACGGCTCTCAAAATTCCTACCGTTCTCCTTAATAATGTCCCTACTTCATAAATGTAGCAGAAGTTTTTTAAATAGACTTGGATTTTTAAAAATCTAATATGTAGAGAACTAGTCATCCTTCCCTGCCTCCTCTTAAATTAAAAATGAGTGATTAGAATCTTTTGTTTGATTTGGCATTTCTTTAAAAATCGTAAGGTCACTGAAAGTTTATTTTCAACCCAACATGCAGAGAATTTAATGATAACAAGGAATCAAAAGGGAACAGAATCTGAAAAACAAAACTTTTATTACATTTATCTCCTTGCTGGGTCCTCTTTTGAAATCTTTCCATTTGATTTCAGTTAGGCTGCTTGCTCCTAGCTAATGCCAAGGACACAAAGAATGCTCTCTTTAAATCATAGCCTAAAGCCTGATTGTTTTCCTTCCTGAGATAATTTTTTTAAGATGAAGCAAGGCCTCCTTACTTCCCACTCAAACAATTTCCCAATGGATGAGCGGCACTGGGTTGGCTATGTGAGAATTACTGAAAGGAAGAGATAAGACTAGAAGGCTGGCTTATTGACTAGCTAGACAGGCAGTGTGAAAGCTAAAATAATCACATCAACATCAGCAATAATAGTGAATATAGATTGTTTATGATGTGCCAAGAAGGTATGTATCTTTTTTATTTATCAAAAGATAGAATGAAAAGTAGACATTAATAGATAAAATCTAAAAGATCAGTTAAGAAATAATATGAAATTATACATAATCAAGTTTACAATAGATGCTCTGAAGGTAAAGAGGGGAAATGTCTACCCAAACAAGGGCAACTGAGACAGGCTATTTGGTTACTGTCAGTCCAAATCAATGTCCATATTTAGTAAATCTTTGAAGGCTCATATCAAACATTTAGGACACTTTGGGGATAGGTATTCTTTTGCAGTTTGGGTATCTCTGCAACAAGTGTTAGCTACATATTTCTTTTTTTTTTATTTGGGGACAAATTTTTTTATTGTGAAAATACTGTACAGAGGAGTTACAATTACATGAGCAAGATAATGAGTACATTTCTTATCAAGCATTGTTGCCTCCTCTTTGTTTCCCCTTCCCATCCTCCCCTCACCTCCCCCCACCCTCACCAAAGTTGTAAAGTTTGTTTTCAACATAACGACTTGTACATCTCCTTGTTCCAATGGGTCCACCTGTATTCCTATTTGTTTTTTCCCTTCCCCTCCACAAATTATACCAACATCAAATACAGTGAAAGCAGGTATACCATAAGGAAGGGACATACAAAGCAACATAGAAATCATCTTATAAATGTGTTAGAAACAATTGCCTGAAAGAGAAAAAAAGCATTTGAATACTTATCTTGGGGTTCATTTTGTCTAACATCAACTTATCTGACCTTTTCTGCTTGACTCAGATATGGAAGTGGCGCTGTGGTTCAAGTGGTAGAGCGTTCGCCTTGAGCTGAAGAGCGCAGGGACAGCGCCCAAGCCTAGAGTTTTCTTTTAAAGATGTATTTGTTTGTCAGAGATGGCCATGCACACCTGTAACACCAGCACTCCTGAGGGTCATGCATTGAAAGTCAACCTGGACTGTACAGTCACTCAAAGCAGTCTTGTAGGCAAGCAAAACACAATTTTAAATCCTCACTCCACTGTTTACTTACCAGGTGAAGTGGTTCTACACAAACCTCTGGCTGAGCACCCACAGATATGAAGAAGAAGGAAGGAAGATGGACCAAGAAGAGGGCATGAATGGGCCACAGTAATGAACATGGAACATTCAGCGGAGGGAAGGAAGGTGCCCCAATAGCAGAAGACCTCAGAGAGGGGGGGTGGAGTCTCTGGATTTCCAGGCAACAGGTCTCTACAGCTGGGGATGAGTGCAGCGATCCAAAAAGAGACAAAGCAGAAGGGACGAGGGAACAGCCAAGCCTATTCAGCCAAGCATCGACTGGTTTAGGAAACTGGCCTCTCCACCTTGACTGGCCACTGGGCCAACGCAGTGGAGTGGTCAGCAGCGAGAGAGGGCTTGTGTATCATCTGAGCAATTGAGCTTCTGCTGCTCCTGATGCAAAGCCAGTCCATTTGTAGATATCGGACTGCAGAAGAATTGTTTTCTGATGTCACAAAGAGGGAAGGGGAAGACCAACAAATAGCAGGAATGCAGGCAGACGGCAGGGGTGGTGTGTATCAGGGGAGGAAGAGACAATGACAATCAAGTATAAAACTGAGGTACTTGGGCATAGGTGGAAGGGGAAAATGCTCCCAATTCCCCAAAGAGAGCCACCAGCCAATCAGCTCACCGTGTTACTCTAGGGTAGAGTCAGATGACAAAGATGGATTTAGGAGAAAACACATAACATAGATTTCTGGAATAATGCTTTTTAAAAACTTGTCTTCTGTTCATGACACATAAAACAGCTCTTTATTTTTTTGTGGCTTTATTGCTCTGGATGGAAGTAAAATTCATGTCATCTACAATGGACCACTTAAAGCATGTGATTCAGTACTCTAAGCAATCTTCTGAACAACTATATGTTTTACCCAGTTCCATATTACAGTCACCACCCCCAAAGAAGACCCTACACCCATCCAACAGTTCACTACCTCCACCCACCTCACTCCCACTAGCTTATTCCTCTCCTTCTTGTCCTTATAAGTTGGTATTTTCTGTTTTATACAACTGAAATCACACCATATATGAAGCTTTGTCTGGTTTCTCTCAGCATAAAGTTAAGAGGCTTCTCAAGGTGTAGCATGAATGAATAACTTCCTTCTGTTTCACAGCATCTTTGTTTCCTCTTTTTTTTTTTTCAGACAGTCTTGGTATATATCACAGGCTGGCCTTGAACTCCTGGTTTCACATCTTTGTGTTCAATAGTTTCAAAGCATACGAAGTTGAAGACATGATTCTGGGAAAATGGTAGACTAGAAAGCACTGGAATCTCATGTCCTACCTGACAACACATGCACTGGTAGAATCTGTCGTGACCATTTGGAGGCTTGCAACTTTCAAAGGAAAGTTCAAGAGATAGACTACAGTAAAGTTGGTCCTTCTCAGCCTTTGGCAGTGTCAGTCCCCCCCATGCCCCCACTCTTAGTTTTGTGTCAGGTGGTTCCATGCATATCTCTGGAAGATCCTGTACCCCACTTGCAGAAATCTGTGCTCTGACAGCACCCTCCTAGCAGAGGTTCAGACAAAGAAGGAGGATGCATTGTTGTTGTACCTGTCTCATTGCTCCAAGCCATTTTTCTCTTCTGCTGAAGTGAGATACTGCCAGGGGATTTAAAGAGCAACAGTTCCCTCTTCTCCTCACTGTTTTCTATAATTCCTATTTGAGGACTAGGCATTAAAAACAACTGCATAGTGAAAGTACAAGTTCAAAAACTTCCAATAAGAATCTAAGTATGCACCCCAGGCTGGCCCTTGGGGTTGTGACAGATCACACCAGTAATACAAATATGCATCGAAAAATAAATCCCAAACACAAAGACCTGGGAAGTCAGAGGATCTGATTTCTAGAGTTACCACATCCTTAGATTCAAATGTGCAATTGTCGAGTGCAGAGAGCCAGGAAAATAGGATCTATTCAATGGGGGAATGAATCCACAGAAACTGTATCTCAAATGAAGCAATGGCAGATGCACTAGGCACAGATAATCACAGAACTAAAGAAAGATTCCGAGAAAGTCAAGAAGAACTGACATTATCAACAAGTGACAGAAAACCTAAAACAAAAGCGTAAAAGGGGCTTTTGAGCTGGAAAGTACAGTAATGGAAATGAAGAATTAACTAGAGGGATTCAAAGATAGTCTGAGGCAGACAGGCCACTGGAACAGAGAACTCAGAGCTAAATCCATATGTGGTTAGGTGATTTTCAACAAAACCATTCACTGGGGAAGGGGCAGTCTTTCTTAACAAATAAGTGTGGGGAAACAAGGATATCCAAGCTAGGCTCTTAGAAAAAAGCAAAAAAGATCAAACAAAAATTGGCAAGAGACTTTCACAGATATTTCACAGACAAAATTCAAAGATACAAATGACCAAGGGGCACGTGAAAAGATGTTCAATATTACTAATCATCAGGGAAAGTAAAAGCCAAATTAAAAAGAGTTGCCACATCAATTCCACCAGCATGATGGCTTTCAAAATAAATAAAATAAAAGGTGTTGGCTAGAAAATGGAGAAACTGGACTGCTTGTAAGCTCTTAGTAAGAAAGATAAGCCATGTGTGTGTGTGTGTGTGTGTGTGTGTGTGTGT